GTTCAGTTTTGCAAGTAAGTGCCTTCAGGTGTGTATTTGAGTGGTTGCAATTACCCGATGTGTTTTGTATTTTGGATACATGTGTTTTCCAAATGGCACCCTGAAATTTCATTTTTGAACGAAGTGTCTTATGTATGAAATAGAGTGTAGCATGCAGGACCATGTGTGTTGCATAAAGGAGTAGGCGTGTTGCATAATTGCAACCAGAGTGCAAAGCAGCACTTTTGTTTAAGGTATGGGTACATGTGTTTGAGGTATGGTAACAAAAGCTTCACGTTGTGTTACTTTAGTCTGAGCATGGGTTTATAGTGTTCAAGCAACGGGCAAAAACTGTAAAGCTCAGTGTTTAAACCCTTACGATGTAACTGCAGCCCCAGCAGCAGTATATGAATGACTAACCTCGTGTTGTGGATGGATTATCTCAGTTGTTCTCCTGACTGAAGTTTGGTCCATTTACAGCATCCTAGGCGAAGCTAACTCCCTGCTAACTTCTAACTCCGTTAAATGTCTTAAATTCTGTTTTCATGGATGCCTGGATGTTAAACTTAATTGTTACAGCTGGTAGAGCAGAACGCTGATGATTTTATTACAGATGAAAGACTTTAGACAGTTTTTAACTCTCAGTGATGCCACAGTGATCGTTTGATTTATGGACCTGCAGCAGAGTTTGAGCCCAGACACGGCTAATGACGTCAGACTTAAAGACCGGATTAATCTCCGTCTCTCTTCCACAGCATGTCTTTATCCTGTCTTCCTTCTCTCACCCCGACCGGTCGCAGCAGATGGCCCCGCCCCTCCCTGAGGCTCAATGAGGTGCGTGGAAAGAGCCGTCACTCAGACCTGATCTCTAAACATTTAAAGAGGATTTTTTTCAATCATATCAGGCCCTTGTTTCCCTGATATGATTCACCAATAAAGGAAGAGACGGGTAAGCGCAGGAATGTGCTGCAGTATGAGTAATCGCACTGAACCGAGCGTGCTCCTCTGTGACCTGCATCGACCTGCCTGCTGTAACACTGACTCCTGAAATGTCAAAGGTCGCCCTCTGCACACGGTGACGGACCAATCAGCTGGTCAGAGGACAATGATGAGAGCGATGAAGGCATCTGCAGAGTGACAAGCACCAGGTTACCTGACCGTGAGCATGTGTGTGTGTGTGTGAAGGTTGTGCAACTGTCTGCAGTCGTGTCTCGGCAGGCCTCTTTGTGCTTCTCTGCAGAGCACGTACGCCATTCGTCACCCATGTGGAAACTCTCTGACGACAGCTGAACGGTTGAATCTTGAATTGTTCCACTGCTCACCCCCGGGCTGCTGTCAGAGGGGGCGGGGTTTGTTAGAAGATGCCAGGTATTTTTAGCTTTTATTCCCAGCAGGTGATCGAGCAGGTTATTAGTGTCTCTTCTCTGTTTTTTTTAGCTTCTTCCCATCGTCCTTTGTCCTCGTCTTTCTCTTTGTTTCTCAAACAAACTATGACAATCAGGTGGACCAGTATGGCAAAGCCGCAATGATGCAATTGGGAAAAAAATCTGTTGGGTGATTGCTACAGTCCGGACAGATGACAGTTACTGTGATCATTTTCAGCTTCAGTGTGAAATATCTGAAGAATTGTTGAGGGTTCTGGGATCAGCCCCGGAGCAGGAACCAGTTCTGGCAAAAGGACGCACTGTCACTACCCGATCCGTACCGGCAACCCGATCGGTACTACGCATGCACAAATCTTACGTCACTTCCTCTCTTTGCCAACATTGCGACGATTAATGTATTTGAGTGACACGGTTAGCACCCAGTTAGCTCCTAGCATTTCTCAACAGCTCTGCCTCCTTTTCGACATTTAAACAATGGATAATCCGTTTACAAACAAATTCATGCTTCATGAATTCAGGCGCCTAATTACAGAGTTAATAATGCAGACTTTGTAATATGTCACGTGATGATTCACCAGCCAAATGAAGTGTTTACTGACAATTGACAGTGACAGCGGACATCATCATCACTATTCCAACAATCCTCTCCACACAGACGAGCATAAACACACTCGACTATCACTACATCAAATTTAACACACGTTTGTAATGACGGTAGTTCATAGGGCTCATTCACTCGGTCAGCAGGGGGCAGTATCCTCATACACTGGGGAGTAAACTGCCATTAGACAAAACAGAAGAAGAAGAAAACACCTGCACATGTGCGGTACGGATCAGGGAGTCCTACGGAGCCCCACAGGGGACATGGGAGAAAAAAAA